TTAAGATTATTGTGTGCATTCCTTAAATATCTATTTTAAAACAAAACTAAAGTAATGCTTGTGTGTGCTACTGCGCTTGCTGAAAAGGCCTAGAAGTAATAATAACAAGCACACAGCTAACAGCCATTTGTGGTTTCCATATACCATTCTCTACTAAAAGGAACCAGGACTCAGAGAAATGACTGATCCTAGGGCTGAGGCTAAAAAGCACAAGATGAGCCTGGAATCTCTTCTTGTGCTAGAAAGTAAGGAACTACTAAAAGGAATCATAGGGAAAAAAGAATCAACTTGATCAGGTTCCCACTGGCCAAATCAGAGGCATTTTGAAAATCAAAATAATTGATACCACTTTACTATAACCCAGTGAATACAATAAGAATTCATGAGTTTGTATGTATGTATATATAAATACATGAATAAATTTTGAAATGGAAGACAGCGGAAAGTTCTTCCTTACAGAATAATGCCAGGTAAAAAGTAAAGAAAAAATGGTATCATCTCAAAGCATCTTGCTACAAATTCTTATTAACTACAAAGAAAAGAACAGCAACTTTTCAGAGGAAAACATGGTAGATGCCACATTAAGTGAATAAAGCTAACACCACCAATATGGGTTAAACAACCTCATGCACCTCCAGATATGATGCACCTAGAAGGATACAACATCACTTCATGCTGCAAAAAATGTGTAATTTGAATCTAATTTGGGGAAACATTAGGCAATTGCAAATTGAGAAACATTCTACTATTAAAGAATATACTTGTACTCTTCAAAAAAATCATGGTCAAGAAATACAAAGAAAGTCTGAGGGATCATTTCACATTAAAGGAAAATAAGAGACATGACAGCTAAATGCATTTTTACAGATTTCTCCTGACAGGGAGAAAAAATAAAGCTTAGAGTATATTTTATAAATATATTATTGGGACAGTTATTGAACTGTGACTGCGTGTTATTTGAATGAGCTCATGGTATTGTATCCATGTGTTGTTTTTTTTTTTGTTTTTTTTTTTTTTGAAACAGAGTCTTGCTCTGTCGCCCAGGCTGGAAAACAGTGACGTGATCTCGGCTCATTGCAACCTCTGCCTCCCAGGCTCAAACGATTCTCGTGCCACAGCCTCCTGAGTAGCTGGAACTACAGGCGTGTGCCACCATGCCTGGCTAATTTTTGTATTTTTAGTAGAGAGGGGGTTTCACCATGTTGTCCAGGCTGGTCTCAAACTACTGACCGTAAGCTATCCACTTGCCTCAGCCTCCCAAAGTGCTGGCATTACAGGCATGAAATACCACGCCCAACCCCTGTTAAGTTTCTTGAGTTTTATAACTACTGTGGTTAAGGAAAAGAATGTCATTGTTTCTACAATTATACACTGAAATATTTATGGATAAAGAAGCATAACAACTCCACCTTTCTCTCAGATAGTTAAGAAAAAAATGTATATAGATATATGTAGAGGAAAAATGATAAAGCAAATGGGCAAAATGTCAACAATTCGTAAATCTAAGTAGAAGGTATAAGGGAGTTCCTTGTATTATTCTTAGAATTTTTTCCTGTTTGTTTGTAACTACCTAACAGGCTCTAATTGAAAAAGAAATTCAGGCCAGACGCAATAGTCCACGCCTGTAATCTCAGCACTTTGGGAGGCAGAGGCAGGTGGATTACCTGAGGTCAGGAGTTTGAGACCAGCCTGGCCAACATGATGAAGCCCTGTCTCTACTAAAAATACAAAAATAAGCCAGGTATGGTGGTAAGCACCTGTGATCCCAGCTACTTGAGAGGCTAAGGCAGGAGAATCACTTGAACCTGGGAGGCAGAGGTTGTAGTGAGCTGAGATCGTACTAGTGCACTACGGCCTGGGTGACAAGAGCCAAACTTTGTCTCAAAAAAAAAAAAAAAAGAAAAGAAAAGAAAAAATAAATTCAGAATATGAACAAGTTAATCACCTGCAGTGCTACCACTCCGACAATTTTTCTCTATCCATTTTTCTGTATTGCTTCTTCTTGTCCTTATTTATGGGCATGCATACAGTTGTAATCATTATATAGAAACAATTTTTACTTCTAATTTAACTTCTCATATCACTTAGGATCTTCAAATAGTACACCCTGGGTTAAACTTTCAAGCTAACTTAGTTTTCCATTAAAAAGAAAATGGGAATAATCCAAATATGCCCCAAACAAGGAATGGGTAAGCAACTAACACTTCCATACTATGAAATATTATGGAGCAATAAAAGGGGACAAATTACTGATACACACAATAACGTGGATGAATTTTAAAATGTGTAATACTAAGTGAAAGAAGCCAGACTCAAAGGCTTTTTGATTCCATTCACATGACATTCTGCAAAAAAGACTACTACAGGGGTGGAAAACAGATCAGTGGTTGCCAGAAGCTAGAAGAGAAGGAGAAGGGTTGACTACACAGGTGCACAAGGAACTTTTTTGGGCAATAAAACTATTTTATATCTTGATTATGGTGGTAGTAATATGACTATGTTTATCAAAACTTGTGGAAATAAAATACAAAGAATGAATTTTACTGTATGTAAATTATACCTTAATTTTTAAAGAAGAAATACAAAACAAAGTTGGGCTTTAAAAAGGGGTTTTATTTAACAGAGTATAGAATACAAACCTATTCTCAGTCTGTAGCAGAAAAGCTCCTCTCTTACATAAAACGAATAGGATGTTATAATACAAAGTTGATATTCATGTTCAAAACTGGTCTAAATTAAAGTTTAATTGTGAATCAAATGTAGTTGCTCACAGCTCTTAAATATGACCTCTCCTCTTCATTGTTCACAGCCTGTGTTGCAACACTAAACATTTCTCCTCCACACTCCTACAACAGCTTCCCAAGCATTCCTGGCCTCTAGTCTCTCCACCATCCAACTCAAAGTAATGCCAGACTGATCTACCTAATGTATAATATAGTCACATGATTTTTTGCTAAAGAATATCTTTCCATATTCTACAGGATAAATTCCAAACTCCTGAGCATTGCATCTGAATCATTTCAAAACCATAATCCCACTTTGTCCCTCTACCCAGACACACACAAAATAACCTACTCTGTACCCACACAGCACAACCCCTTGTCAAACCTCCTTGTATTTTCAAATTTCTGTACCTATGTACAGACTTGGAATGCCCTTCTCCTGTACTTCTGCTGGGCAATCCCAGTCATCTCAGCTCAAATTTACTTTCTTCATAATAATTTCTTCCTCTGAGCTTCTACAGCATTTTGAAAAAGAGTATGTTGACTCTGTCTCAAAAAAAAAAACCCCATAAAAACTTAAGATTCAATATCTTTTATTCCAATTCAATAAACATATGAGAGATTCTAGGAACAAGAGATGTCACAGTCTTAGGCCTCAAGGATTTCATATAATAAAGGGAATTAAAAACTGGATACAGTGCAACCAAACCAACTAGATAGTACCCAAAAACGTACAAAGTGCTGTGGATATTCAAAGAGAGATGGTATTTGAGACGGGCTTTAAATTATAAGTCTTACAACAGAAATTATATTCTGGGCAGAGAAAGAGGAGAGGACAAGAGAAGAGATCCAAGAGCTTACAGAAGAATGTAATAGACTCAATAAAAGAAGTGTGTCTCCATGTATACATATGTAACAAACCTGCATATTGTGCACATGTACCCTACAACTTAAGAGTATAATTTTTTTTAAAAAAAGAGGTGTGTCTCATATCCTTTGTTGGAGAAACAAAAAAGTGTGAATAAATGATTAAATAGTTACCAAGAATTTCAAAAAAGGGAGCCAATTAATGTCAAAAGCTACAGCAGGGTTAAAGAGAGTAAATAGAGAAAACAAAGACAAGGTTATTCAATTTCATTTAGATCCTGGTGGCCTTACCTGACATTGACCTCTATGGTGAGGTAAAAAATTAAGACTGGGCCGGGCGCGGTGGCTCAAGCCTGTAATCCCAGCACTTTGGGAGGCCGAGACGGGCGGATCACGAGGTCAGGAGATCGAGACCATCCTGGCTAACACAGTGAAACCCCGTCTCTACTAAAAATACAAGAAAATTAGCCGGGCGTGGTGGCAGGCGCCTGTGGTCCCAGCTACTCGGGAGGCTGAGGCAGGAGAATGGCGTGAACCCGGGAGGCGGAGCTTGCAGTGAGCCGAGATCGCACCACTGCACTCCAGCCTGGGGCACAGAGCAAGACTCCGTCTCAAAAAAAAAAAAAAAAATTAAGACTGTGAGGTATTCCAGCTTGAAAAAATAAAGGTGGCTCAACATAAAAGGGTCATCATGAACAACAACAATTAAGGCAAGGAAAAAAAAAGAGATCTAAGGGAAGACCTGAACATGTATGCTGACAGAGGGAAAGGAGTCAATGGAAAGATAACCAAGTTACAGAAAGTGACTGGAAACAAAAGCACAGAACAAGGAAAGCCGAGCCTTTGACATGAGGGGTGCTTTTTTCCTCTGGGGAGGAGTACTTCTCTGAGAGATGAGCAAGGGAGTTGAGGGATCCTGAGTGGGATGGGAAAGAAAGTGCCTGCAAATTGAGAAGCATGGGCAGTTGAAGGAGACGAAGAAAGTCAGCAAGAGACAAAAAGAATTCTAGCAGCAACGAGGGCTTACTAGCTGGACTCGGAAATACAAATTTGCAAAGATCCAATCAGCACATTTAGTGACTCCCTAAACCACCTCAGAAGCCTGGAAGGCCATGAGGAGACCTGCCTAAATAACTCAGGTTGGGAGGGCCGAGATCCATACCTAGCCAGCTTAGGCTGGTTCAGTACTCTCATGACTATCCTGGGTCCTTTTTCAACAGAATTCTCCTAAAGTTTGTTAAATTTAAAACCTGATGGCCACTTTTAAAGCCATGTTCTTAAAACAATGTAATGAGATACTTTTCCTTAAATACTAAGACAATAAAATAAGAAATTTTTACATGTAAAACATCATCAACTGTGAAAAGTCAGAAGGATTAATTGACACACAAAACTCAGAATGTCACTCACCTGGCGGCTTCCGGAAAACCCATCTTGTAGAGTGTTACAACCACAGCTCCTCCAAGGCCTAAATTATGCTGCAGAGCCACCTTTGCACCAGGAACTTGCCTCTTTCCGGCTTCCCCTCTCAGCTGCCAGCAGAGTTCTGCACACTGAGCAAGACCTAACAAATCGAACACAGAGCACTGAGTCTGTTGGATCAGAAAGCTGCTTCCACCAGCTTTCTCAATCCAGAAAAGGGATGTTTGTGACCTTAAATTAAAGCATTTGATTAAGCCGAGACAACGTTTGTGTAAATAGTAACTTCTCTTAAAACACTGAAGGGTTTTGTAGCTAGTTATTTTCTCTCTAAATTTCTTTCCTGCACTCTTTCAACTTACTCAACCTGTCGTTTTCTGGCATGTTGAAAGATAAAACACTGAATCTACAATTCTCTAGTCCAGGGAAAATGGCATAAAAATAATGTAATTTTACCATTTTTAATGTATTAAAAGAAAATAAACAAGGATTTGGAAGTTCACATTCCCTAAAAAGTTTAGCTGGTATGGGAAATTTTTCCTATTATTTTCCTCCAAGTAGTTCCCAACAAGCCTGGCACGGTGGCTCAAGCCTGTAATCCCAGCACTTTGGTAGGCGGTGGATCACGAGGTCAGGAGATCGAGACCATCCTGGCTAACATGGGGAAACCCCGTCTCTACTAAAACACACACACACACACACACACACACACAAAAAGAATGAGTTGTTTTCCAGACCTATTCACAGCTACTCACAAGAAAAGTTCCGGATTCACAAGGATAACATTCTGTCCCCTGAATAATAAAATCAAAAATGTTTAGAGCTGAAAGGAACTTACTGATGTAAACACTGAGAAACACAGAGGTGAATGGTTACAAAGCAGGCTAATTCCAGAGGTGAGGTTAGAACCCATGATTCCAGATGTACATTTGTTTGCCTTTCTATCGGACTAGCTATTAAAGGAGAGCTGGGTTAAGAATGTTCTATCAGGGCCGGGCGTGGTGGCTCACGCCTGTAATCCCAGCACTTTGAGAGGCTGAGGCGGGCAGATCACGAGGTCAGGAGATGGAGACCATGCTGGCTAACACGGTGAAACCCTATCTCTACTAAAAATAAAATAAAATAAATTAGCCAGGCCTGGTGGCAGGTGCCTCTAGTTCCAGCTATATAGGAGGCTGAGGCAGGAGAGTGGCGTGAACCCAGGAGGCGGAATTTGCAGTGAGCCGAGATCGGACCACTGCACTCCAGCCTGGGCCACAGAGCAAGACTGTGTCTCAAAAAAAAAAAAAAAAAAAAAAAAAAAGAATGTTCTATTAGGATAGACTGGTCTGCAGGTCTACTAGTTACAGTGCCTATTCTTCCATGCACATCACCAGCCACAACTTCCAATTCCTGAGTACCTGTGACAATCTCCTGTATAAACTCCAACTTCCCCAAGAAATTTAACTGCTGCTTTTCATTTCTAAGCAGTGTCTATATATTTATAGACCAAGTATCTTAAACACTATTTTAAAATAGGTAGCTCCCAGTGTGGACAACACAGCAAGACCTCATCTCCACTAAAAATAAATGTATTTTATTTTATTTTTTTTTTTTTTGAGATGGAGTCTTGCTCTGTCACCCAGGCTGGAGTGCAGCGACACAATCTCAGCTCACTGCAACCTCCGCCTCCCAGGTTCCAGTGATTCTCCTGCCTCAGCCTCCCAAGTAGCTGGGACTCCAGGCGCACACCACCACTCCCGGGTAATTTTTTTTTTAATTTTTCAGTAGAGACAGGGTTTCACCATATTGGCCAGGCTGGTCTTGAACTCCTGACCTTGTGATTTGCCCACCTCGGCCTCCCAAAGTGCTGGGATTACAGGTATAAGCCACCGCACCCCAGCCTAAAAATAAAAATTTTTTAAATCAGCCAGGCATGGGGACATGTATCTGTAGCCCTAGCTACTCAAGAGGCTGAGGAAGGAGAATGGCCTGAGCCCAGGAAGTCAAGGCTGCAGTGAGCTATAATCATGCACTGCACTCCAGCAAGGCAAGATTATAGGGCAAGACCCTGTCTCAAAAAGAAAAGAGAGAAAAAAAAAAAGGTAGCTCCACACCTGGTAATAGCTTTTTGAATTTTGAATATTTTAGAAATTAATGAGGAAGGCCAAACTGAAATGACTCTATTATACCCAAACTTGGGGGCAATCAGTTTTATTGGAAATCTGCCTTTATGAAAAGCCTAAATGAATGTGTAAGACAAAAAATATTCAAACTGGTCTTAGATACACTACTAGTTGTCTTCACAAAAGAATAGATGCAATTTACAACTATTTGAGAAAATACTCAAACTCGCCATTGATAAAAATCAAACAGATACCATTTTACGCCAATCAAATTGGTAAGAATATTTAAAAATGGGAATAATCAATGCAGGGGAAACTATGGCAAGATAGTTACCTCCATGCAGAACTGGTCAAAGTTTAAACCAGGACTACCTTTTTGGAAAGCAACGTACAAAGTTATGAAGAGTCTTTAAAATGCCTTCAAAACCATTCCATGGAAATAATCAAATGTTGGGAAAGTTTTACACACAAAGCTATCTGTTCATCAGATTGTTATAACAGTGAAAATCTAGATAATCTAGAAGTGAAATAACCGGGGAATGGTTAGGTAGAGAGGGGCAAAGGGAGCAAGTTCTCCTTGGCCCTCTGAAGGTTTCCTGAAAAATCAACTTTGTAAAAGTCAGATTAATTAGAGAAAGGGTATACAAATTTATTTACCGTGTATACATAGGAGCATTCAGAATAAAGACCCAAAGATACAAGGGAAATTGTCCATTTTATGCTTAAGTTCAACGAAGTATGGAACAGCCATATAGAAATATGATTGGACAAAAAGTGTATGATCTAATGCTAATAGACTGAGCGGGGAAACCCAGCCAGGCCTGTCCATCTAGATTCTTCTTGGCCTCTGTGAGCATGCATTCCTTCCTTCTGGGTGTGGGGCAGGTCCCTTTCTGGAATGGGGGTCTTATGACCTATAGTCAAACAAGATAGGTCAGATAATTTCTTTATGGCCAATTTTTACACAGAAAGGTGAAGAGAAGTTATAGTAGTATTCTAGGTTTTATGACTGGCTTTGGGGAAAAGGGGTTATGGCTTTCAAGATCTAACTTGAGGAAGAGGGATTCCAGTTTCTACGGCTGGCCTTGGTGGGGAGAATGGGACTGAGAGACAGGAGACCAGGAGAAGGCCAGAGAAAAATTTTTGCTTCTGAGGCTTTTATTCTGGTGTATGGTTTTCTAAGCCCTAACAGTGATGTAAATTATAAGCTAGATGTAAAGAGAAAAAGCAAGCTGTTTTTCCTCTCAGCATACTCACAGCACACTTCTGTAACCAGATGTCGGGAAGGTGAGGGGTTCCCCCAAATACCAAATCGATTCTTTTACAGACACCAATGAGGTATTCTGTAATTCATTTCAATTCTAACACTATTTACCTGGAGATAGTGTCAGATAGGGTTGAGGGCTGAGTCCCACCAGGCTGTTCATAATTCAGATGCCAAATGCAAGTCCAGGCCACCTGTACTTCCAACCAACTGGTTACAAACCATCATCTTGCTGCAAACATTTCCTAACAAGATGTTGGTCAACCTTTTTACATGAAAGTAACTGACCTAGGACTCAGTTACATAGATAAGAGTATACAATCTGGTTGCTTCTAAAAATAAACCATTCGAACATATATCAAGCATTCTACCAAATGTTAAAGATAACAGAGGATTCACAGTGTAATGTAAATATAAAGTGCTAACAAAGATAAGGACACTAAGTGCTACGAATAGCCACAGAATGGAAAAGCTATAGGGGATAACATTATGAGTTATTATCTGAGGTCTTTTCTTCCTTCTCCTTGAACCTATAAACCTTCCTATACTATCAAGATGGCCAAGTACAATAAAGTCATAATTCGGCTTTAGTTTCAAATTAGACATCTAAATGCTTTAACAAAAACAACATTAAAAAGCATGGTTTTCTACTATCAGAGCCTGAATTTTTGAGGAAGAAAAGGCTTGCTGAGTTTCAAAGAGCAAAAAGCTTTCATAGACGCAGCATAGACTGAAGAATATATATTTATAATAGAGCAGATTTTCTCTCCAAAAGATATAAAATTTGTTGCATGCGTCTGTGTGAAGAGACCACCCAACAGGCTTTGTGTGAGTAACAAGGCTGTTTATTTCACCTGGGTGCAAGCAGGCTGAGTCCGAAAAAGGCGTCAGCAAAGGGTGGTGGGAATATCGTTAGTTCTTACAGGTTTGGGATAGGCGGTGGAAATAGGAGCAATTTTTTGCAGGCAGGGGGTGGATCTCACAAAGTTCTCAAGGGCAGGGAGAATATTACAAACTACTTTTATTATTATTATTATACTTTAAGTTCTAGGGCACATGTAAGGGCGGGGAGAATATTACAAAGTACTTATTATACTTTAAGTTCTAGGGCACATGTGCACAATGTGCAGCTTCATTACATATGTATACATGTGCCAAGGTGGTGTGCTGCACCCATTAACTCGTCATTTACATTAGGTATATCTCCTAATGCTACCCCTACCCCCTACCCCCAACCCATGACAGGCCCCGGTGTGTGATGTTCCACACCCTGTGTCCAAGTGTTCTCATTGTTCAATTCCCACTTATAAGTGAGAACACGCAGTGTTTGGTTTTCTGTCCTTGCAATAGTTTGCTCAGAATGATGGTTTCCAGCCTCATCCATGTCCCTACAGAGAACATGAACTCACCCTTTTTCATGGCTGCATAGTATTCCATGGTGTATATGTGCCACATTTTCTTAATCCCGTCTATCACTGATGGACATTTGGGTTGGTTCCAAGTCTTTGCTATTGTGAATAGTGCCGCAATAAACATACATGTGCATGTGTCTTTATAACAGCATGATTTATACTACCTTGGATATATACTCAGTAATGGGATGGCTGGGTCAATGTTATTTCTAGTTCTAGATCCTTGAGGAATCGCCACACTGTCTTCCACAATGGTTGAACTAGTTTACAGTCCCACCGACAGTGTAAAAGTGTTCCTATTTCTCCACATCCTCTCCAGCACCTGTTGTTCCCTGACTTTTTAATGATCACCATTCTAACTTAT